TCCGTACAGTTAACCATTTGATATCGCGCATAGCGCGGGTTCGGTTTACACGGAGAAACTGCAATCGATGCGCGAATATGCAGTTAAGGCTGAAGGTTAACTCTCTTTACGCCGGACATGATAGAATATGGGTACTCTGTACCGTTCGCCGCTTCATTTCCTTGAGTTATGGTCAATTACAGATGCCTTCTCTTAGCAGCGTGTGTCTGGCTACCACTTCTATGCTTTGACTCGCGATAACCCACGTTTCTACCTACATGCGTTACCTACGGAGAAGCGACCTCGTATTTAAAACCCGTACGAAATGACATACCACCATTGGAGTAACTAGCGTGAAGAAGGAAAATAAATTTTTTTTTTTTGACAAAAAAAGTAAACGCTATAGGTTACTTTATAGACACCTGGCCATCGGCGATCCCGATATAAGACGGATGTTCGGATATAGGGAGAGTGCGTGCAAACGGAGACTGGAGATGCCGCTGCGATAGGAAAGACCGATCGCCCGTAGGTTGAATTTATTACAAAGCTTCCTTTCATATTTCCTTCTTATTGCAGCTTCTCCTCGCGGGTCTCCCTCTGTGTGTAATTAAATTTTATTTCTCGCCGAGCGCCAGCTGAGAAACGGGCTCTTGAAATTAACCTTGGTGAAATAAATTGGATGGTTGTGTGTACGAGCGTGAGCGTGTGTCGTCTTGTCTTTCTTATTTAGCATATTAAAGGGCAATGAGAAGATCGTGGAGTGGAAAACAAGACGGGAAGGTCGATCGTGCGCGGGAATTGATTGAAACTGGCTTGCGCCACTTATTGTCTAGGCGTTCGTTACTACGTTTCTCGAGTCGTGTAACGCGAGGGACAAATAAATTCTCGTACGTCAGAATGGGACAGTGGCGAATATTTGTAACGGACTAAGGAAATAAATAATTAAGAGGAGAAAAGTCTCAAGCTCGGTTGCCGCAAGTATGCATATCAATCGTAGGTAAGGGATACCGCTATTCACTCGGTGGAATAACAAGCAACGATTGTCTTATTATTCACAGTCATCCTTCCACCAGGTATAATAACATCTCGTATTACCGTTACAGCCAACACCTTTTTACCGAGGAGTCTTCCGTACGATTAAATATAAAATATTGTACCCGTAACGATATTCTAATCGCACATCTAAATCATCGTTATCCGTCAGACCGTAAATGCTGGTCGCAGATTTATGCTGCTTTGCAATTTTTTCATTCACGTCATACAATAGCAACGTACTTGGTGCGAATATTTACGCAATTTTATAGTCCACCGTTTGGCACAGTGTACGCATTTACGATCCTGCATCACGTGTCGTATTGTCTCCTTCAGCTGGCACTTAATCTTCGTCCTACGATCTCTCGTCGTTCTGCATCCCCGTGGCCTTCTTTGCAAACGCGAGCGCGTATCTTACGATCTGTCCGTACGGCTACGGCCATATTTACATTCTGTTTGGGCGTTTACTTCCCATAATACGGCATTCGCGTTTAGGTCTTTACTGTTTTATTCGAAGCCCTTTCTGCCATTGAATAAAGCGGACTGAGAGCCCACGCACGGTGTATAGTATAAGGAGAGGTGTGCGTTGTAATGATTTTTCATGACGATTGCACAATCCTATAATGACGTCGTGCTATTCACTGTTTTCTACTTTATTCTTAATTTCATTAACGCGCGTTCACGTATCTTCGCCATCGCGAGACGACGGTATTCGCAAAATTTGCAATAAGACGCGACAGCCGTATGGTGGGATTAAAATTTATAATTGAATGGACACAGGTATATGTATATATTTTTTTTGTATACCTGTCTACGAAAATCTAGGACGAAAATACCTGGAGGACAATCTTGCTTCGGGCAAATGAAAAAAAGATAGTGAAATTGCATTGTGGCAGAATGCAATCTAGAGCATTGTTAGATATAGTGGCTATACGTATCGATCTCAGGTATATATAGGTTCACGTACACGACGGCTGATATGCCAAGATTAATGCTGCCACCTACTTTCCAGGAACTATCGTTCCGACTCTCCCATTGCAGGATTTAGTCTGTAAATGGAAAATCCTTTAAAAGTTCTTCAATGAGATACACTTGGATACTCGGAAGTGTGGATACCTCTTTGCTGGGCGACATTCCTCGTTCGCTTATGCTTATCGGACTTTACGTCGCCTCGTGTTGGACGCGTTCACCGGAGGAGTTACAAGATTTCGTAACGCCAAGAATTCCCTCTTTTTTTTCTATGAAACACATACGAGGACGACTGTGCGATTCAGCAGCTTGATAACGTGTGGCGAACATTTGCTAATACTACACGTGCACGTAAATTCATTTCAATTTCCGAAACTCGACGCGTGGCTAATTCTGGAAATGATATGTTCCCCGCTATAGCGATAACGCTAAATTATGGATTTCGAAAGCGTATATTTCACTTCAGAGTGCACGTGAGATATTTTCGTTATTGTATCGAGCTTAAATGACAATTTCAAGCTTTATTAGGAGTTCGAAGATTCTCTTTATATTTTTTCAACTATCTTATTGCACTGTTCGATGTACGGTATTGAGAAGCATTACTTGTGCGTTTAGAGATAATAACGTGGTAGAGAAATTAACTCACAATTTGCATAACATTGAATTCGTAATCGTGTCATTTGCTGGATGTGATAGCGACGGTCGATAAGAAAGATTAACGAGCGATAATTTATAAGACGTCAAACTATCCGACTAAATCCAAGGAGTGATATGTAGTCTTGAAATAAGAAGAATTCGAAGACACGAAAGCAACAGATTTCATCGATCAGATTTAGCGTGTGTAAACTGCCGATTTCGAATATGTAGGTTTCGAAATGGGTACCAAGGTCAGCATACAAATTCCCACGAAGATAGTCAGCCGGTTCAATGTTCGCTGCAAAGGGCGAAGTCGAGAATGAAGTTGATCGAATGGATAAAGGAGAATATCGAAGGAGCGTTTGGTCAGCTGATAGCATTGAAAATTGTTAACTTCCATTAACAGTCAATTTTCAATTGAAATATTTCCTAGCCGTACCTTATATTTGTTCTCTCTGAGGTTGCAGCCGATAGTGCGATGCCATTCGCGGGGAAATTTATTCAATCATTCGTACGGTCTCTCGGTCAGGGACACCTTACGATCGTAACGAGAATGTCCTCATAACGATCGCGGAGGTCGTCACTTTGAAAACAGAACAAAGTTCCCTCTCCGAGAGAATCGCGTCAGCCTCGACCTCGAAGTGCTTTGCCATTCAACGAGACGAATGACTCTCGAACGGAAGGCCGGATGGCCAATACGGCCAGACGGGCCGGATAGTACCATTGCTACCTTCGTAGCGATAAAGAAGACTGAGAGAGCAAACCAGCAATCCGAGTTTCCAGCAATCCCCCCTCCCCTCCCCCACGTTGCTGCTCCACCTTCACCATCTTGCTTCTCCTCTTCTTCTCGAACGGGACGTTGCTTAACGTTTTTCTTAATTGCCTCGGACGACTTACCGCGAAAGTCATACCCTTTTTCCTACTTTCCTACTTTCCGTGCACGGAGCTTGTCCTGATGATGCCTTATGGGTTTCTTGGCCCCCCCCCCCCCGCTCCCCCCGCCCTTATAGCGTTTTAATAACAGCCCCGGGTATCCAAGGCGACGCTAAGTACGTCGGCATCGAGAAACACAGAGAGCGCTCGGACTTTTGAACGACAAACAAATTTCACGCTAATCGCACCTGAAATCGTTTCATCTCGACACGCTATGAGAAATCGTTTCGTCGCAAAAATAAGTATAATGACCGGCTGCAACAAAGGCGTACGGGCTTTTGCAATGTGCCCTTGACTCTCCTTCGCTCAAGGCCAGTTTCATGTTTCTCCGCATCCGCAACCGCCGTCCGCATATATACATATACGTATACGTACACTTCGTAATTCACATCTCCGACCGGGTATCACTCTTGGTCACTATCAATCATCGTTCATTGATAGCCATCATGATTTTCTATTTCCAAAAGCTTTTCCATTCTCCGTATACGTAATTACGTAGCCCTGCTGTTACACTCGTGTATACCAATCAGTACTATAAATATAGTCCTGACTTTACTTTACGTAGCACTCAGTAGTGACGGTAGCGTGCACGCTCAGACGTTAGGCTTGTTTCGTAGTTGGCGTCGGACGACAGTCCAGACATATCGATCACTATCGGTCTTCGATTTTCTTCCTTTGCTTAACGAATGGCATCAGCATCGGCATCGGTACCGGGAGCTCTTGGTCTCGCGATTGAGAAATATAGTTGACGCGAGTCATCGATCGAAATCAGTGCTTTCGCGCGAGACATTTATTCCGATTTCCACGGATCGGACGGCTCGATGGCGGAATATATATCTTGCCGATTTTTCTTACCACGTGCGTGCACTTGCGTGGCCGCTGCGAGGAATTGCGCATGCGCGCACAAGGCTATACGTCATGTCAAGCCGTTTAATGGGCTTTTAATACAACTTTACGAGCAGCACAGAATCTTCCCAAGGTCCCGATGTACCCGATCCTCGCATGCCTTGTATGACACGTTCCGCCATCTTATATATTTTGTAATCGCGAGAACTACTTACGCCATGTTAATCGATCATGGCCTAGAAAATCGATTGAAATTGATTTTGAGTAAATCAACGAATTCGAATCATCCAACGTTAATTCACGATGAAATGTGAATATGACGTCAGTGATTGATTCAATTGGATTAAAGGCGTCTGCTCTCCCTACTTGGAGCTATACATTTTTTCTGTTATACCGTACTATTTCATTTATGCTACTGTATCTAACTTTTGCACAGGCATCGAATATATTTATGAGTCAGTCTTGCCGTTATAGTACTTATTATCCTTGGCAGCGATGCTTTATAGCCGGTACGTTATTGCCATTGATTATTAGAAGTGCATTTATCCGTTATTAGTGCTATTTTATGAGGTTTTCACGATGGAAAAAAAAGGAAGGAACACCACTATGTGATCTTTTCGTTGTATTTCAAGCATGTACATTTCGTGTAGCTCATTAGAATTTTTTTTAATACGATAATGCCCAGGCACCATGGAATACACAAAACACGATAATGATCCTAATGGTCTAACGATTATTCTACGCTGTTGCGCTATAATCTTCAAGTACCTTTATATTATTTACTTCATGGAGGTCGAGCCAAAAATAATTTATCGCATATATGGTTGTTAAATTTTACAAATACAAAATTAAGTACGTCACGCCGACAGTACGTAGTACCGATTAAAGCATAAATTAAAAAATAAGGAATAGCAGGGAGGTGAATTTGCAATACCCAGAGAAATCCCGTTAGTAAAATAACAAGGGTGCACAGACTAAGCGATGGTAGCATAATCGATTGAAGTATTAATAATAATCGAATTCGATACACTGTTTAAATACAATCGAAACACTGTTTTTTCTTTTTGTTCGATGACCAAGTTGCCTACGGATAGCAATTATACACCGATCACCCTTTACAGATCATCCGTCGATAAGGTAGTGATTACTGTCGGTATAGCTTCATAGGGTGGTGTACAACCCCTCGTGCTGTCTTCGTCGCTTCTATTTGACGAGTCTTTCCTTCTTCTAACAGGCTTCGTTGTTCCGCTACACTTCACAATGAACTTCATTTCATCCTTCAGTTCTTCCTTGAACGATAGCTGAAAGTATGTACATATGAAATTTTAAATCGAAGAACTGAAATATTTTAGGGTTTTCAACGAATAATCAGTTATCATTATTATTAATGTTATTCTTATAAAGATTCCTTCTTACAATCACTTAATGGATCCGTACCCATTGTGCCGTGATGCTTTTGTACCTGATACACTCGAAGGAACGGTTTATGAGTACACAGAATACGTATGGGTGGGAGTGAGCGAGCGAAAGGGGAATGAAGAAGAGGGACAGATTGTTCGTATACTTTTAGTGGGAGTTTAATAAATATTTATATATATTTTTATTTATCCACCATTGAACTCATGGTTATCCAATGCAAATTTACTCACGTTCTCCTTCCACGCAGTGCATCCTATATCCCATAGGAGTTCCCAGGCAGTGTAGAAGCACGACAAAAAGATCCCTACAGCGAGAACCAAGAACACACCACCCACGTTGGCCAGGCCGAGCTCACTGGCTTCTCCACTTGAGCTGCTGTCTTCCTGTAATATACAAAGTTTTATTATAGCCAGGTAATGCTACAATGTTGCAGCCCTAAGGCGTAGGTTGTTTCCATGACATTTTCTTCCGTGATTCTTGTCTCGGTTGTACGCTCCGATATTGCATTTTCCCGTGTTACCAGGAACACCGGCTTAAGGGGTATTCCAAAATGTTCAGAGACGCCCACGTGTACGGGCGACGGTAAAAATTGCACTTTGACTACGTTTCTCTGTATTTTGTATATACCGTACCTTATGCCGTCTTTGTAAGAAGAAACAAGCAGTCTGTACCTACCTGAATCGATCAAGCGTTATTTTGATCTTTTATGAAGAACTCTACGGCTGGATCCAGTGAAAGGGAAAATAATAACACCAGGAATATCTATTTTGCGGTGAGCCTACTTATGCTTGAAATCTCGTGGAATATGTAGAAGAAAAAAAAAAGGGTTTTGTGCGTGCTGCGGTGTCAGGGATTTCTGGTGTTTTATGGGCAGTCATGCATGAGTAGGTAGAGCCTGTCGTTAATAAGCAAATCTTACGCTGACAGCTGACGGAAAGTTTTTGCTCCATTGTAATACCAACTTCAATTTTTATTCTGTGTGGTCTATGCTCTTGTCGTAAGTCCGTTCGTTCCTTTCTTTTGTATCTCAAGGTTCGCATTAAGCGGAACTTGCGGTAGGGTTCGTATACACGTTATTTGATACCGATCACAGATTCTCCGAAGGAGCCCTATGGGATTTCATTTGAAAGTGGAGACGGAATTAGGATTGGAGCTTTGAAATATTTAATGCGCAACGCGTTACGCAATTTGAATCTGTAAGAACTCTCGAGTTCCGTCATAGGCAGTCGATGACACTGATTCAGCGCAAGGAATCCGCATAGTCAATTTTATAGTGGATTACAAGAGAATCGTCAAAATTGAAATGCAGGCGCTGATCTATTTAATTTAAGTCACTTTTTCACTTTTGAGATTGATACCCCCCCACAAATTGATCAATGATTTCGAATGATTACGTAGTAAATTGATCGGATCAAACTATGGTGCCACGTTCGATCGGTATTTCGGGGATTTTCAATTATTAAGGAAAAAAAAATAATGTAACAATTTTCATAAACATACGTCGCATTTTCCACCTCCTCTCTTTTCCTTCCACCACTTGATCTCGAGCTGTTTCAAGAATCCACTTTCCTGGAGTTTCAGCACGTTAGAGCTGAGAATATTTCTGTACGGTGCATCTGTAATGTTATTATTCCTTGTTTGAGAAAATGTTTTTAACAGTAAATTACAATGAGTCGATTAAACAAAATAAAAATTGACATTAATCACAGATTAGTTATGTAAGACGATCTTTTTTTTTGTCGCATAAATTTAAAAGTCCAACGCCACTTCCACCTTAATTTCCCATGCGAAACTGCAGGAGCCAAGATCATCGAATTCTTCACGCCGCGTTACCGGTTGTTCTTATTAACCGGTCATTAAGTAGTTAAGCACACCGAACAAAATCTCTCGCCCTTGACGCGCGGACGCTTGTAATTGAACTGTCAGTCCTGCGAGTCAGTCCGAAGGGAGTGGGTATTATTTTCAGAAGGTGCGCTGCGGATAATGCGATTCCCAGCGTCATCGAATGATCCTGCTTAGTCCCGTCAATCTTGACCTTATCTTCATCTAACTAGATCGCATGAATCATGCTGACTGCACTGCAAATCGCAAGTGTGTAGCGAAGTGTGTTATTCCCTATTCTTTTTATATTAGTCACTTTTAATACACTCATAGCTGTCTTGTTGTTCTCACATAAGTCAATGTAAAAATGACACTTGTAATCGTGTAAAAAGTGACTACCACAAAAATAATAAGGAATAACGTAGTTATGTTAGCCATGCAATTTAATTTACATTGTGCAGGTTGCGTTTGTTGACGAAACGCAACGCGAAATAGTGGTGGCAAGCCTTCGATGATCTTGGCACTTGATACGTGCAGATTCGTATGGTAAATTTTAAATGATCGTTCTAGTGGAAATCGTACGATATGTTTATCGTAGTTGAACGTGTTAATTCACTGGCAATTGAAATGACCTTATTAATTAAACAGTAAGTAACTCACTTTTCTTCATGGCGATCCCGTATCCTTTGTTGTCTAAGTTACCGTTGACTTTCGTCACATTGCATCGTCTCTCTGCTATGTAATCGATGGAGGTCGATTCCATTAAAAAGGCATAATTGTCATTCTCATCTAATACTTTTTTCACGCCATCGTCATTGGTCTTCATCAGAACTTCGGCCGCGTTTTCACTCATGTATGTATACATTTTATGATAATTTGGATCCATTGAATCCTTGTGAAACGTTAGAAAAAAAAAATAAGATTAATTTAACCGACATTCATTTGTCTGCGTAGTATGGTGTAAATTAATATTGACAATAAAGGGTGTGTTTCGAAATTTACTCTGATGGTACTGTAAAAGTAATTACATCTCTCTTAGATGCGTACGGATGTACTGTACTGACAGTACAGTCAGTACATTTCGGAACACACCCAAAATGTTATCTGAAGCTCGTTTGAATTATTCCAATGATCTGGATTACCATGAAGAATTCGTAATTGTGATTAAGAAAAAAAAAAACATAGCCATATGAAAACATAGCAATCTGACATAATATTAACTGAGTTTCGTGACGATAAAATCAAGCAGCTTTCATGATCCTGATACGTAAAACTTTTCGCGTAATATATTCTTGTTCGCTTCGAGAACATTGCTCGTTGAGTCTGCCAGCAGAACACGACTGCCGCTAAATTATGTTTGGCGAGTTAACATCGGCTACGTTCTTACATTGCTCGTGTTCAGCATATTGCCAGCACGACACGAACAACAGGAGATAACCATAAGAAGGTAGTCCGAAGGCGCAAAACTTTCATAGAGCCCACGTACCCTGAAGAACTTTAAAGTCGAGCCGTCCCTTTTTGCTCCGTACTTGATGACTTTTTGATTGGCCAACTGTTCGGCATTTTCTATCGTCTTCATGGGATTTTCGACTGTAAGGAAAGCCGCCAAATTTGCCGTATACGAAGACACCATAATAAGACAGAAAAACCACCACGAGCCAGCAATCATTCTGGTGGAGATGCTTCTGCGAAAGAAATGACAAATATTTGTATATTACTTTTTTTCTTACTTTTTTTTCTCAATATCATTCAATGTTATCGTTCAACTTACATTGGGGCAATTTCAGAACCTTGTTGCATAATACTTCCAATGGTGAACCACAGTGCATTTACCAAGCTAAATTGATTTTCTAATTCCTCTGGATCGGCGATGCAAGGGTATGGATTGTTCCATTCTGCTGGCGACATTCTTCCTATGATAAATAGGAGCAAAGAGACCAATAGATATGCTCCGATTAAATAAAGCCAAACCTCTTTGGAAAATGGAGATAAGAAGGAGAAGAGACTCGGTGGTGCACTGGTAGGTTTTCTGTACAGAATGCTGATACCTGAGAAATGTACGGATACAATTATTCGTATGAATAAATTCGTATGATTCGAAGAAAGGTTATTAAATTTATTCGATCGATTAGCAGTTTTTAATTGTATATAATTCTTTCTTACCTACGAGCATGAATGGCTTCGTAAAATCAGCACCGCTCTCGCGTTCCGAAGTTATTGTCAAATCGGTAATCGCGAGATCTGCTTCCTGTAAATATATTTTATTAATTAACAATATGAATTTAGGTTTTTTTTTTCATTTTAATTTTACTTTTATCATACGGGATAACACTATTCTATAATTTTTGCTTGAAATACCTACTGACGATTATCATATTTCCAATAGATTTTATACTTTCATATTGTATCCTCGTAGTAAGTAGAAACGCTACGAATTGTGGACAGACTTTGTGATACGGCACTGGAATACTTCTTTACCGATCGAGTACGAAATGATTCCTAGTTACGTTGTAAGATAGCAGCACATAACAATGTTACTAATACAATTTTTACTATCATTTATCCATTATCGAAAGAAATTTCTAATCGATCCAAGAGCAAAATTTGATTTCATACTAATTAAGATAAATTCGTTTTTCAATTGAACAACTTTTTTTTCGATTTAATACGTTTCGGATCGTGACACTCAGGAATATTATACCCTGTGACAATTTCTCATAATCGATGCGTTGAACTTTTTAAATATACTTGAGAATAAAGTCCGCGATATCTCTTAGAATTTTTCTATATATACTTTAATATTGCTTACTAACATCTTTTTGTATTTTTCCGATCATTCCGTCCCATTCTCCGGTTTCAGGATTTTTAGATCCATATTTAGTATCCTTTTGCAACTCGAAGGTATAATTAAAGTGGAGAACTTTTGAAAGTTCAGCAATAATGTCAATGGCAAATCCTTCGTAACGATCATTGCCAGTCATTATTTGAGAAGATTCCTTCAGCATTACGTATGGATCTGTCTAGAAAAAACATGTCATAGTATGTGTTTTCATATTTTTCTTATATCTCTCAAAACAAAAGTATCTACCCAGCAGACACAATATTACATGCGCTCCTCATTTACAAAACGTCAACCTTGTATATTGGCGTTACATAAATAAGTGACAGAATTCAATTAGCAGGTGCGGTACATTTAATCGTCTGTTTGCTTTGTATACATTTGATTAACGTTTAAAATGACTCGAGCTTTTATAAACTTAACATGCATGATTATGTAACGCCATTTCATTCTGTTTTAATAAATCTGCATACTACGGATTTCATCCACTTTATTATTTATAATTAAAATTAACTATTGGCAGTTAATTCAATTTGATTATGTAAGCGCGACAAAATATGTGAAAATTATTAAATGACTTTGGAGTTAACAGCTATCATCTAAAGCATTTGCGCATTATGAAATAACATAGAGATGAATATATTTTTATCTGTAAAATCGTTTACAGAGTATCGCCAGTAAGGCTATTTTTGTAATTTAGTTCTCATTCTCGACCAATTTTGAATTGAATCAAATCGGTACTGAAATATAGGTACATAAGTTTTGCGAAAAAATTCATTTGTTATATTTTGTCCTTTTTTGTTTATTTAAATAACATGCCATTAACAATAAATTTATTTTTCTACATATTATAATTGCATAGCTGGAATTTTAAGCATTCAGTTACTCTCATATCATGTTAAGAAGTGCTGCAAGAAACAGTAGCCGAGCATGTAACTTCATAGATTTACGTAAAAGTCCATTTTCATTCCGTAAGATAAATATACTTTCTGGAGGGAACAGACAAAATTGTCTAAATAGCTTTTTAGAGGAGTCTCCAGATTAAGAAATACCAAATATTTTCAATTAAATGAAAAACAAAAGAAATATCGTTAAAAATCCAAAAAGTCGTTTTTCACCTTATTTCATGACTTTTTGTCCGCTTTCCTAAATAACTTTTTACAGAATAAAGATATTATACTCATACTTGCATATTCTTACTCCGATCATTATGACGACTCCAATTTACTATTAAGCTTATAAAGAAAACGGCTTTAAATTACTTTTATAAAGTGTAAAACTTTCGAGTCACCGGTGACCCAGGGTGTAATAGAACGTGGCGACAGGAAATGTTGTAGGCCAGAGGGTTAATAACGTGACAACCGATTTTTGAATATGTCAAACTTGTTTTCTGTCAATATTTTTATTTCTGGCAAGTAACGTACCTTTATTATACTATCCTCAGATTTTTTTCTCGGGCTAGAGTCGAAGATGACAATTGTTAATAATAATTAGAATGATCGTCCAAGCTGTTATTAATATTTTTTTAGAATGAAATAAACAAAAATGACGCCTGTACTCATATAGAAAAGGATACGAATACAGTGGAGTCCGTTTATAACAACATTCAAGTAACAGGGAAATAACGCCGTACTAAGCAGACGACGTAATAAGCAAAATAAAAATATGTAGGAATGTATTTACAATCTAATCAAACTTAAGGGGACAAGTAGGATGCAATATGCGGTCGATAGTTATAAGCGCATTCGTAATAACCGGCCTCCACTGCATTTCCGATAGGAAAATAAATTTGGATTACAATTAATAATGTTAATGTTAAACTTACCAATGAAACTAGGACGATGAATGTTTTATTAAAGAGGTTCGACTGTTCAAGATCCTCATAGTCCGGCTTTTGAGGTATCCACTCGATTCCACTGGTACTGTTCCAGTATCCAACTTTTGTCAAACCTTTCGTAGTCAATTTTATAATATCCAATTGAATATTACTCAAGAAGCCAGCTGTATCGAATTTTATCAATCCTGTTAATCCTCTCATTTCGGTCTGTGAAAATTAACGATAAAAAGAGAATGATGAGAAAAAATTTAATATGAAAATACAAAAAATTCAATTATAATCATTGATTCCAGATTTTTCTTACCAATCTTATGAAGTTCGACAAAGTATTTCCGTGTTCCCAACTTAGTGTTTCGTTACAGTATAACTTCTTCTCGTCGGGCTTAATAGTGGCTTTTTTAAATTGTTTAAAAGCTTTTGCGAAAACTTGTACAGCGTCGTACATTAGTGCAGCTTCGGTTTTTATATCAGAGGGACTAGAAACGCCCCAATCTTGTTGATGCAATTCAAATTTTTTTTTCACGTATGAATCTTCGGGATCCAAGAGACGTACACCGGTGAAATTGGCACCTGAATACTGAAACGATTCCAAATCCAAAGTCTGCAAGTCCTAACGGATAATAAATAAATTAGATAATCAATATTCATGATATACAGATATTCTTAAATATTAGTATTATTATTATATCGATAATCAAATTAATCCTTACCAGTGTCGTGAAAACGAAGCTATATCTCTCTGTAATAATACCAATTTGCTGTGCCTGCGTAAGTAATTCTGGAAGAACATCAAGCGCGCAATCTACGACTATATTAAAATCGTCTGACTTCTTGATTTTTCGTAAAACATCTCTGTATAAGTATATTGAATGTTAATTGATATCACGTGACTGTTACTAATGTATTGAAATACGAAGTCAATGATTTAGAAACGTACTTGTAATCTGGACCTGATCCCAATTGACGAAGTGTTACAGAATGTTGCCTATCTTCCCAGTCTTTTATCAATTCACTTGAGCGTATCAAACTGTCACTATTTTCATACAATAGAATAAAGGATTTCCAGTTGAGTTCAAGAATTATATTATAGAAAGCCTGAAATAACGATGAAAATTTGTACTTCTGCCAAATCGTAGTGAATGTCCTATTACGTTTTTTTTTTATAGACGTATCATTAAACTATAATTAAGCCGCAAGCTGATAAATGATGCAGGAGTGTAAAACGGTAAAATGTAAACTAATAAAATATTTTATTAGCCGTAATGTTTTCACAAACTAAGAGGAATAAAGTTTAAAAACTTTATGTATTATACGTATTAAAAATTTCGTATCTTTTGGGACGGATAAGTTATAACGTTCATCCTTCATTTATTTTTGTTCGTTATGAATGATTATTCGGTGATATAGAAAAGTTACGTGTTACCTTGAAATTTAACGATTAGTAAACTCTATGGATTGCGTGAATTTTTATTTTTATTATAATCAACGAATATCATCCATTTTGATTAGTACGTCATTAGTCAGAACTTTCTCTAATCTCTTGATAATAGGTATAACATGTATGTACGTACCATGCTGTATGTCTTTGCATGTGGATAAATATTAATATTTGTTTCACGAACTAGCGACCCATCCCATCTTGTAGTAATATGTGGTATGTCCATAGCATCACTTATGCTTTGTACATGTTTCGATGATATTTTATCTTGTGGTCCAAAAATACCGGAAATACCTTGGGTGAAGAGTTCGCATGCTGAAAGGATTATCATAATTGAAGGCATTATTAAAAATATAAATTTATAGTTTACGTTGCATGTATGCAATTAATATTTAATTGCATGTAGCACATAATAATACATATTGTTATTTTTTAAATATATTCAGCGGAATTAAAAAAAAAAAGTAAAAAAATTGGGCTCAGCCGGGATTTGAACCCGGGACCTCTCGCACCCAAAGCGAGAATCATACCCCTAGACCACTGAGCCACTTGCATAGTTAGAAAGTTCGTAATGAATAGAAATTGCGCCAATAATATTTTGTTACATTTACCATTCGTTGAGACCTGGAACACATCAGTGTTGACATACTTAGATGTGACCGTCAGAAATATATGAGACGATTCAGAATTTCTACGTTTGTTCGTATTCACATCCTTCACTGACGAATCGAATAAACTCTGTATAATGTCATCATCATCAAATAATGCACCTGCGAAGCGTTGATATATTTTTATTAATTTTACGTTGACCAGTTAATAAAAAAAGAATCATAATAATAACAATACGTATAACAACTATCAAAAGAGTACATAAACTCACCAATATTCACTATTTTCGGATTGGCCAAAATGCAAGGTAAATAGAGTGTTAGCAAAAGTTTCGTTAACATCTTAAAAGTATTCTGAAAATAAACCAGTAAAAATGAAACAATCTCTTCTTTACGACCAACGTAACAGCATTATATTTTACGTCTTACTTTAAACTAATAAAATATACGTCATTGGGATTGGCAGTGATCGATATAAACGCGCCAGGCAACAGAAATACATTTAAACCATAAAACAATCACGTTTGCATTTTCCTAGGAGCACTTAACCGTTTGACATTATGTAAACCGATGCAAGAAGACACGAGACGCTTGCACTTGCAGTGGTTCGCATAAACATTTACGTCTACCGTGAATCACGTTCCAAAAAGCCGCTCGGCTTATTTACACAATGAATGTTTATGCTTTTAATTGATGCCTGTGATCGATCGATACGTCGTGCCGAAGACGCAGTGAACTCGGTAATTTTTTTTTATACTCACGAAATAAAAAAAGAAAACAACTCTATCGTCTTAAAAATTTATTTTTCCAGACAGAAAATTGAGTTTTATGATGTCTCAGTTAGGACATAAATATGTCAACTGAAACGTGAATTACCCTTATACTTTTTTTTTATTCGATTTTTAGCTACCCCCGTTTAATTTAATTATATATGTATATAATAATAAAAAAATTTCTCTGAGTCAATTTATTTTTAAATAAAATTGTAACCGCGCTGCGTTATTTTTCTTCTGTAATTAACTTCTGCTTTGATTAATGAAATTAAAAATTTTAACCGAAACGACGTTGCAGAACGTTACGTTAAGAAATTCTTTTTCGTCGGCAGTGTTGTGTCCCTCTCTCATTCGATGACATGGAAAAGGAACGAAATCTCGAGGACCACACGATTGCAGATATATTTAGACGTCGGAGCGTTCCGACGCCAGCGTCTTTCTAGTGTACAGCCTGTGACACAGATTTCAACGAAATACTGCCATAACTTTGAAATTGTTTTTCGAATCACTTCGAACTATCTGGACTGCTAGATTTTACGAATTTACTTTGCAACTCCTACGTAGTAATTTTAGGCCGGAAATTGCGGTATCGTGTGCACTGAGCCAACATGCATTGTTATCAATTCACTTTTAGAGCAACTCGCTGTCCGTCGTTAATGATAGACAGACGACTATTCAAATAAAGTGAAACGTCTAATTGTCTCCGTTAATGATAACAATAAATTTTGGTATTCCAATTCAATCTCTACGTAGTACGTTCGTGAAATGAGTGAGCTGGCATTGTGTGTATTCTCAGTTGGTCGAAACACCTCGTGCCTTGAACTCGTCTTTATGTAGCGATTAATGCAATCGGGGTCAACCAACATTAGTCGCTATCTATCAAGCCTCGTTTTCATCAGGTCGCAGATCAAGCGAAGGGACCTGATTCATTTAGAAGCTAGGACCATATATGAGCACCAGTAACAATACAGGCATCAATGGAACGCATGGGTATTTTAGGTAGGATACAGTAGGCTTTGGAAAAATTTTTTGCAACGTTAAATCAACCTTAAGTATTTATAGTTTAAACAGATTATTTGCGCTGTATTTTCAAGAGTGACAGGAGAACGAAAAAGACTTCCTGTATTTTTATTATTTGACGTACAATCTACGTTTGCACTTTGACTAACTTTTGAGGATTTGTGAGGCTTTTGTATTTCTTTGGGAGATTTTTGGAAAATTTATAACTTCTTCGAGCAGGAACTGTGATTACACATGTGTCACCAAAATAGTTGACATGGCATTGTCCCCGAAGTGTCAAACGGAAATGGTATACAAAAAAGAATTTTCGAATAACTCTCGATAAAAATACATTTAGGAAATAATATACATATCGCACCATTAAAAAAATCATTAAGCACTTGTAAATTTCTAGATAACTTTTGACGCAACGTGGAATTAATGAAAAACTTGAAGAAAAATAATATCAATACAAATCGTATATTTTTGGCGCACAAATAAATTTTTTCAGCTGCATTTATGTTTCTTGCAAACAAATTTTTGGCTCGATAGTCTTTTAAATCAAATAAAAAGCCATCAAGATTATCGGACATGGAAGGGAAGTAGGATACATTTTTTTTCTTCGTTCAATATCACTTTGCACAAACATGTGACATTTATTTTTGGGAATTTCAAACGATTTTCATATGGAGTTGAAGCAAGGAATGGGAATTTCACATTTGGTATCACGGAGTTACGTGAATGCAATGAATATTACAGTTTGGTACTTATTGTGGTTTTTAAGTCAAAAAGCAGCTCTCAAACTCAAGAATAAAGCCAGCTTACCTAGAACGTAAATATTAACTCAGTTTCTACCGCGATAATCGAGAAAAACTTTGAATTGAGAATGATCTTGGTAGCTGCCGAGTCAAGCCTGAGAATTGCCCTCACGCGTCGTTTCAAAGAGCATGCGCCGGCCCCCCCCCTCCCCCACTTTCCCCACTATTTCTCATTTTTAACATCACCACCACCATTACGCGGGAACGTCCTTTCTATTTCTTTTATCCCACATGTAATATTATGAATTTTCGATCAGCAGAATTGCTTGCTAATATTACGTTTACCTGGATACGTTAGACGCAATATCTTTTATTATTCAGCTAAAAGTTGTTTGGATTAATTTTATATACAAGAAAAAGTAATTTTTATTTAAAAAAAAATAAAAAACATTTTCTTGACGTATACGGAAGTATCTCACATCATATGGTATTTTACATCTGGGTAAAGACAGTAAATTAATTATTTTAATAAATCTAATTACATTTTACCAATAATAGGTTAATTCATGTAATTAAACAATATTGTGTAAAAATACGATTTCATTGCCTGAACTTTCTCCAACGTACTGTATATACTGCAAATATCGGAGTCACTGGACACGTGGCACCCTTGACTCGAAGTAACTTGGTCATTTTTGTACACGACGCTTGTGCACACGGCTCAGACAGTCCTCCATTAAAGCTACAAATATTCGACGCCAAATTCTTGGAATTTCGTGTTCCAGATTTTGACACTTGCAAATTATATTCTGTGTACGATATTTGAGATGCTACTGCATTTTTTTGATAAATTAAAAATCATTCACTATACATGTATATGATATGGATATTGGAAACAGATCATTTTAAGAAAATTTTTTAATTATATTGAAACATTTTCCGCCAGTCTCGAGTTTCCTAAATTAACATCAGTTGCTGAACAAAAGAACAATTTTCCCCAAGCTCCGGCCTACTGCCAAAGGGAACGTTTTTATTGTGAGTTGAGTTTATTGGACGTCGGGACCGAAACGTCGACAGTTTTCAGCTCGTATCGACTTTACAGCCCTGAGCATTTTGCCGTGCCAATTAACCTTTTCAAATAAACCGTTCGAAAGTTCCGAGTGATTAATTTAATTTCGAAATTTTGTTCAAAATCTCTTCAAGAATATCTTGATATTTATTTTATTTATAAGCACAGTTACTATATACTTACATGTAATTTATGTATTTAACGATAATCAATGTTATATTTTCAAGTGGGTCAATTAATTATTCATATTAATAAAAATCTGTATGTCCTATCCAAGAATGAACGATTAAATTCTTATATTCGCAAGGTTTCATCATTTGGATATTACAAGTTTGGAGCATTGGGATTCACAAATGAAGTGTTCATATAGTGGTAATAATCAAATACTATTGTAATATATACAGACGAATAGTTTATTAATGGTTAGTACCTTGCACATAATATAGTCATGTATAGTCGGTCCATGAGTAAAATAGCTTAATGCGACACATGAAAGTAATTTTGTATTTTTCGATATATCACTTTATGCTATTTTACTCGTGGACCGACTATATTATAATTAAGAATTATATTTATCAGGCTTTCAACAAATTCATTTGACGTTTTAACAATGTATCTAATAATGCAGTCGATATTTACAAATATGTGTATCGCAGATTAAACAGAATGATAGCAAAATGAGAGAATCAGCGAGAATGAAAAAAGGAAAGCTAAAAACTTATTTGTTCACCTGCATATGACTCGTTACAATTTCAATATTAAATATAGTTGACCGAGTAACTAAATTATGCAAAATAACTAATCGTTTAATCAGCGAATTACAGTACATACGGGAGTAACATTATCGGAAGAGAATGAAATCACCCGAAATGGTCCCACGACAGAATTCATAATGAACTCAATTAGTTAAATTAATTAAATTTACATCGCAAACTTTTTGCCTCGATTAAATGACTTATTAAAATAAAATAAAGTAGCCATAATAGTCTCACTTAAAAATTACAGAATTAGGGAAAAAAAATTCTTTTTCCGAAATATTTCACTTTGTTCATAATTAAATATAAATGTATATTAAGGACGTACCATTTAGTATTCATGTGTAACGGAAGACAAACATTAATACTGTTCGATTGTTACATTTTTTACAATTACGAACATAAGCATGCGAATTTTGCAAATGATGTTTAGCGCCATTGATTTATTCTACATGGTGTCTCGTAAGTCGTCGAGCCGAGGTCGTTCAGCCGTGCGAAATTCTGCATTCATTCAATTTCGAAATCAAGCTAATAGTCCATAAAATTGTGACTTATAATAAACCCTGTATCGATGATTTTTTTCGCATCGACCAAAGTTCACTTTCGCTTCAGATACTGAGGTACACTTTGTATAGTACAGATTAAAGAGATATAAAATGTATACATATAGTAAACTCCCGTTAAGTGTGTGCTCGATAAGTGAACGCTTTCCCTCGAATCGTTCGTGTCTCTTGCGGATTGGGACATTAGGATTATCCCCATTATCAGCTATGGAGCCTATCATCGTACGAGCACGAAAGCGCTATGTATTTGAAAATAAGAAAGACCCCTACTGTATTTAACTACGACACACCGATAATGCTCTAAAATTAAAAACAATATCAGCCCATTTAGAAATCCCTCGTTACGTTTAGATACTTACAATTAACTTTGATCTGTTGGACGTTATTTCGTTCTACGCTAATTATGCGGGTGCGCGTACCGCCTATCCTGACTTGATCCAATCGCTATTTCCAAATGCGATAATTAATAGTTCTACACTGTTTGTTGGCAGATACTTTTGAAAGTTGCAATGAAAAATAAAAGCCAAGTCAAGCCAGCCGGTCCTAGCATTTAAAACTTTTAATTATTCCACTTTTGATACTCACTACAGCATTTCGATTTATTGCATCAAGAAGGAACTACAATAATGAGAATCAGTTTTTCGGTGAATGCGTGTAACGCGTTAAATAAATCCAAATCATGCATGAAAAATTGAGCATTTTCAAGGAGTATCATCATATTCAAATTATTTTTTTAAGGAATATGATTAATGTATTTATTTGAAACAATATTGTACAGGTGAGACGGGTGAACGAATAGTACATATTTATCAAATATTTTCATAATCATCTAATTGCTCATTATACTTAGCTGGTGTTAAGCAATGAAGCTTTAAAGTGGCTCTGTACTAGTTCCTTCTCGATATTTTTGATTTATTCACACGGTATTAGGTAATGTCGATAAGTAAATAGTTTAGAAAATTCGATCATTTTTGCACTCACAGTCGTTTCTTATATACACTTCACAACTATTTTTTTTTTGTTATTTTCACGCTTTATGTCATATTCTTCATTTATGTGTAACAGTACACTAAGAAATAATCTCGAGGGGTAGGTACAATTCACAGTTGAAAAAAAAGAAACGGGCGTAAGTAGAAAACTTTTCGTTAACTTTTGAAATCCTTCGATGGATTCATTGTCACATTTAAAATTAAACCTTATTTCTTATTCCGAGTTCTTCGTCTGTTCATAATTTCTCGCATCTATGTAAGAGGCGGTTTCCCTATGAAGTGAGTATATTTCTTACAGACGGGGTAGCTACCCTGCTCAGAAACTGTTGGCACGTTCGAATGTCGTCTTTGACAATCTCGGAGACCATTTTTCGTTGGCTTTTGACTGCCATTTCCACAATCCAGGGCATATCGTAATTCACTTGCCATCTCTGAACACAGTGATTTCTGAAAATTGTAGAAAAACAATTGTAACGGTTACTCCTTATATTTTCAACTCAAAATATTACACAATGTACATTATAAGAATAGCATTGTCTTTATTTGACGCAACGAAAAAGCAAAGTGTTTTATAGTCTAAATTTATTCATTTATTGATGAAATCTAAAAAAGCAATATCATAAAAACATACAAATCATGCAGCATTTCTTGTACGCATTTTTAACAAATGTTTTTTAATGAGTTCTTGAATTATGTTTATATTAATTGCAAAACTGCAAAATGTACAATGATTAAGCTCGATACACTATCAATAAGTTCTACAAGTTCTATAAGTTGAATAGTATATATATATATTTTTTTGCTCACCTCCTGCGAGTCCATGGCGAGAGAGGCAAGAAACATTGCGACACAACTAACAATGTCATACTAAACTGTTACAGCAGTCAAGAAAGTTTTAGTACGATGTAAATCTACTATAATAGAATAAAGAGGCCCCCGGAACATTTAAATTATGAAATATAATTATTTTGATCATCTACATAATACTCTGAATAACTAAAACTCGCTGCGAGTATGTTATTTATACATAATTCGTCAAATATTTATTAAACCGTTATGTTAATATAAAGAGGATTACAATATTGAAGAATAAACCAGACCTAATGCTGGTCTTAGTGCGCGTTCGACGAATTATACAAATTGTCATGTTTTCTAATATAATTTGAAAGCTGAAAATTATTTGAGTATCGAACGAAGCGGATAAAGCCTTCGTCGTCTGAAACAATAGACTGAATACACATTTTGGCACAAAGGCACCACAGAGGACAATGGTTATGAAAATTTCTTCTGTATGAATATGAATACATGGAGCTACCCATAATATATAATTAACAACAATTTAGTAGTAAAAGCTTCATCGAACTATTTCAATTTAAAATATAGAATAACAAAAATGTACAAAATTCGATTGAAATAAATTAATATCTTCCAGAGGCCTAATAATTTTCATAGAAATCGTATAAGACGTACACCTAATAAAACTTCCTTGTACAGTGTTAATCATCAGAATACTTTACTTATGGCTATTTTAATGTAATCCCTTTAATTATCAATAGTCATATATTATACTTTATGAATTCAGACATAACGTTTTATATCGAATAACCGAGTGTTGGAGTTCGCAGTTTCTTCTGGCATCGCATACCGAATTAGTACGCTAATTAGTATTCGCTCTGGATTAATGAACAATGACAATAGGCAATTAATAATTGATTGTTAACAGACCGAGATATTTTCGAGGAAAAAAAAAAAACTTAAATCCTCCGTAAGCAGTGCGTGTAAGCCTTGAGCAATAATATAAATAAAAATAAAACAATCACACTTTTAGTTCGTGAAACATCGAATTTTTCGCCTTATTTACTAATCGTGAATTTGGATGCACGAAATCTACGAACTCCGCATTTAATCGCGTAGGCCCATCAACTACGTAATATGTACAATAAAATGTCTATTCGCTATAAGTCTATACATTCACTATCTATTTGGTATAAAATGGTGATTGTTTTTTTTTTTTAAATATCCGTTATTTTCAGTGGGTTACACGTGTTATTCGAGAAATTGAATATCGTTCGTTAGTATTCGTTCATTAATTAGCCCGGGAGACTAGAACTCACTGTGGGCTGTAATCTCTTCGTTAATTAATCTAATATTTGATATGAGCAAATGGCAGACATGTTGACCTCTCCAATTTTGCTTCGATTCGTTTTCTGCAACTGTTACGTAACTTCGCGCAAACAAATGGCGTTAGATTCATAATAAGTAAATGATTTGTTGATTCATGAATTAAAAATTTATATATGGATCCTTCTTACTCTCGGCGATTCTAATCAGCCTGTTTCGTTAAGCGACAATAACGGTAGATCTAGAATCGCGAAAGAAAGCAGCTCGATGTGCGCACAAACCTGGCGATTTGGACAGATTTTTGAGACACGGCCTGTGGAAGTTGGACTCGTGTGTCTTTATCTTTAGACTTTTATTTTTTGTTAAAATCACATAAGTCAGTCTGCATTCTCGTAATTGAACCTTCTAATTGTAAGTTATTTGAGGATTTGTTCTTCTATGTGGAATGACGTCACAGTTCGATAGACATTACATAGAGTTGTTATTAATAAGCATGAGTACAAAAAATTGGAAAGGTCAAGGTTCGTAGCTTTAACTTTTGATTATTTATCGTTAATTTACAGTTCCGTCACTCGTGATGGAGTTCTTCGTTAGGTCCATTCTCGGGTCAAGAACAGTTAAGAAACACCGGGCTTGGAGTCTGTTTTTGAAGAGTCGCTCAAAGTACTCGCTAGTGTAGATCTGTAAAACCTTCGCAGATCGGTTTCCCCGAGGATTTCTGCTTCTAAAACAGAACACCAAAATGCCCGGTAAGATACAGAAAGATTAGTAGCGTAATGGAATAACAGTGAACGAATGCATCTTAGAAAGGTAATTGAAGGATAATGTAATACCAACTGAAAAAAAAAATTGGTCCACGAGAAATATTCAATTAAATTATAAAATATGAATAATCTCAAATGAATTGATCAAAGTATATAAGGTCAAGTTATACGTCACGTATATATTTATATAATAATAAGAAAAAAGGATTAATGATAATTTCAAAATGAAATAGCAGTAACCCAACAATTGTTATTTATAGGCAGAAATCGATAAAACAAAAGGTCATTATGTCATGTCAAACCGCATTCTCGAAATCCGACCAGGAGCAGCAATATCACGGCATCTGGTGCCACGTGAAATTGTTTGAATTAGAGTCCGCGTGGTCAAGCATGTAAAGCTGTATATCCGTATTTACGGACGGTCACTCAAACAGGGTTATTTTTTTCCCGTTCCAAACTTGGATAAGCAGCTATTGCGAATAACGTGACAAGTTGCATGTACCTTACTGACTACGGAGCACCCCACTTCATGGTCATTGATTTCGTTCAGTGTGATCTCAACTGTTGGACTCGTTTTAGTTTTACATTGAAAATAACTTAATAAGACAAGAAATTTCAATGTAAAAAAAGTGATAAAAAGAAACGTTACAGGAAATGAGATGAACAATTAATATTAAAGTTACGATCATTAGACCCGAGTGATCTTGTATTTGGTCCTGGACCATTAAAGAGGAACTCCACCATCGTGCGAACATCAACTGATGTATTCTCGTGGTATATCAGGATAAATCGCGTCCGGATCAAGATGCGTATTGGGTGTCGTGCAACTAGGTTCGACACCATCTTCCTCGTGTTATCTGACCCCACTCACCCGCTCTTCGACGGCGACTTTTCGACTCTTCCAGACGAATTCGCAGACGGCTATTACGCAAGCGACACCCATCCCACCCATGAGGACGACGAAGACGCCGCCAACGTTCGCAAGGCCGAGTTCATTCGCTGCTGAACTGCTCTTGGAGGTGTCGTCCTGTAAGGAGGACTTTTTTTTAGAGAAAAAGTCCCACGAGAGATGGGATTGCATTAATAGCATTTTTGCATTTTGAAAAATAAGGAATAGATACGGTAGAGCGCGGAAGGCTTCAATTAATTTTCAAACGAATATTTTGTACTTGTGTCAAAGGTCTCTCTAAAAGTCACTTTTAAAGGTGACTTAATAATCTCGAGTAGATTTTTATAAATTTAATAGCTGTATATCGTTAATTTTCTTTTTAGATATTAAGTTGCAGGATGTGCCATAGAAACTCAAGTACAGGTTTCGATGTTAAGTTTCGAGCCGAGAACTAAGTGGAATATTATTTTTGCAGACAAAGACAACAAATTGTTAATAACAAGACAAGAATACAGTTAAATATTCGCTTGGATAGTTTGAGTTGTGTGAAATCTTTGGTATGTTTGTCATTATGATAACGTAACGTTAAGTTCCTAAATTTGAGAAAATTGCGGGCAAGTATTATCGAGAAACATGCATTGAATGGAAAATCAGATAAAGATTAACGTAAGTATACAGAAACATACCCTACAGGAACCGCCGCCGCGTTTTTCTTTCCACCACCTTGTTTTCAGTACATGAAGTTTTCCCTCTTCTTGAAGTTTTAGGATGGCTCCGCTTATGGCTGTTCGGTATGGCGAATCTGAAGTTTAAATTGCTTTTAAGAACGGTTCCGGTGAAAAATATGCGTAGCTAAGCTTCTATACTAATGCACAAATTAACGTTCCTAGTACCCTTAGTCCTTCTCCATATTTTGCAGGTATACTTTTGATATATATATATAATATATAAACTATATGTATATATACGGGATATATATTGTGACGTGTTTTTCAATTCATAGTCAAGTTAAAGGGGTCTCAACCAATCAGAATGATTTGTTCTCAAAATTTATTATTGCCAAAGCAGTCAGTTTTGGAATACCGATGAGGTGCCTCCGGCTAGCTCGCGCTCCTGTATTATCAGTTGATAGTTTTTTCGGCTTCGTCGCATATACGTTACGTCAGTCGTGTAGTTATCGGTCGTGTAGTTCCCGCGTTCGCTCACGAAGAGTTAAGAAAATCCTACGGATTTTACGTGTGAGTCTCGGTGTGCAGTTTTTTGTCAGTGCTGTGCCCAGAGAGTGTCAACGGTTTTTCGGGCTCCACGGATTAGCTGAGCCAGCTCCTGTGAGTATTCCCAATTCATTAATTGGTGAAGGGATTTCGATTTTGTAACATCCGTTTCGCGTTCTTTTACGTTCGTGTTTGCTTGCTCTTTGCATTTTGCGTTATTTACCTGACGGTTAGTCCAACTCTCTCTACCATAACCTAGCCTGAGCCGCCCTGGATTTCCGGTACTGTCCGCTTCCGTTTGCGCGTCCAATTGCGTTGGTGGATTTTACGCGACCCCTCAAAATCGAAGCTTTCGGTCGCGTTTCTCGATTTTACGCGACTCCAAAAATCTATAGAATCCGTTATGCTACCGTCCGTTGCGATAGGTTACGTCAGAGCTCTCGTTATGCTGGAGCTGATGCAGTTCCACCTCATCTGCCAGGACGTACCGGCTTTTCAGTTCCCGGTGAAATAAGAATAGACTGTCGGGTGCATGGTGGAAGGATGGACGGCCGGAGGTGGCATAGGTTAGTTCTCGGATTCGCGTTATCAGTGTCGAGTTAAGAAAATACGTCACAATATAATACGAAAAAAATGGTATATTCAAAATATACATAAAACAATTTGTTTACTACATTCAACCTATATGACATTTTCATGGGGGATGGTGTAAAACAATATTAGAAAAAAAAAGAACGATATTGGCATAAATACTTACTGGGTGGCATAGCAATTCCGTAACCCTTGGAATCTAAGTATCCGCCAACTTGAGTGAGTTCGCAGTTTCTCTCAATTACGTATTCGATCGAAGTGGATTCCATTAGGAATGCGTAGTTGCCCTTTCCCTTGACCACTCTCTCCACGCCCTCAACGTTGCTAGACGTGAACACGGACGGTCTCGCTGACTCCATGAAAGACCACATGCGCTGGTACGTCGAGAAATTCGAATCCTGCATCAGGAAACAGACTACCGTTTGCATTGGATAGATCAAGCATTGGCCAAGATCAGAATCTGTTGCTATTCTAGGTACGAGCATTACTCGATTTCCAAACTGGGAATTCGGAATCTGGAATTACGCGCTCGTCATTTCAGCAAGTATCCCAGTAATTCCTCTGTAATCTCCCATGGTAGAAACGCGTTAGAGACGTTCGATATGTAATTTTATCCATCGAGTACGGCGTCTCCATATAAACACCCGTATCTTATATTTCCAAGATTTTGGTCTGACCTGATCTATATACATTAAATTTTATTCATCTTCATTGATAAGTCTTCGAGACGTCTTCTAGTTGTATGGAAAGTTTATTCGCTGATCTTGCTTTTTTATGAAACATTAATCAATCATGTAATCTGCTTAGGAATTGGGAGGCTGAGGTCGTCGCTGACACGATACTTGAAAAAAGTATAGAAAAGTTACGAGTATTTCTCGACTTCGTAAATAAAAAATGTGTACAAGGTCGGATGAATATAGAATTATACTAAATTTTCATCGATGAGGATGAAGGATGATCAATATGAAATGGATATTGTTGAGATAAAATGGTGCTTACCCTGAAGAAAGCCGCAGTGCTGCCACCTTTTAATGCACCGTATTTTATTTTCGTCTGTTTGGCCAAATCCTCGGCGCTCTCAATCGGCGAATCCATTCTTTCGACCGTGAGAAAGGCGGCCAGATTTGCAGTGTACGATGAGATCATTATCAAGGTGAAGAACCACCACATGCCGGCGACCATCCGCGTGGAAACAGCCCTGCGATCAAAATTTTTCCAATGCAGCGGGTCGGTACGAATGTTTTATATTTTATTATGAAATTTTATAAATTTTACAATGTAAAATAAATGTAATTGAATGCATCTAAAAAATTAAATTTACTCAGCCCAACGATTAATATTGTGAATTATTAATTATTAATCAAGCGATCTACGATATCGATATATACGGTATAGAAACAACTACGTGAAGAGCTTGTTACAATCAATTTTTCAAATGTGCCATAAAGCTTATTGGGTGTCAAGTTACATATGGGTGTGAAAATTGCTGGATGCTGTAATGCAATCTTTAACTACGTTTCACATAATTTTTTCCTAATTTAAAATTTCTCTAAGGGCCTCTCGTGCACACATGAGAAAATTCCTTAAATAAATTAATAACGTTTCTCGTTACCTTTCCTTCCTCGAGCGACTAACTGCTACGGTTGTATGATTTGTTCAAATTACTTGATTACTGTTTTAATTCAAATTTCTTCGCAATTTACTCTCTTTCGGATATTCTCATGGAATTTTACGTTTCACGTACATTGCAGATGTTATTATTACATATAATTAGCGAAGAAATTAAATGTCTAACAAAAGTATAATTACTGTTGTAGATTCGTGAAATGTAATCTCCTATGAGAAAGATTAAATATAATAATAGCTTGAGGTACTTTTGAGCTGCTGCTGCTGCTGCTACTACACAACTGAATATTTCCACTTAAATGAAAAAAAAAGATCTTCCTTTCTAGAAAGCTCCTTGAACAAAGACATCAACTGCCATAAAAATACCTTTCATCAAATTACGTACATGATTTAATTATAATTCCTCATTCAATTCGATATTCATTCCAGTAATGAATTACAAGAAAGTTCTGATTCTCATAAATTTTAAACTTTGAAAGAGAGTTCATCTGCCACTCTTATTATTTTCAGTTCAAAAACGTCTTAAGCATCTTATCTTTGATATTAATCCCATAAACCGTCCAAGGTACGAACGATAACGTTGAATGAAGTAGTTGCATCAGATATCTCAAAAGCTCATGAACGATGTCACCGAGTGTCTCAAGAAAAGATTGTCAGAGGAAAGAGAGGTAATGAGAGAGATAAAAGAACGTAAAATAGGTTCAGGATGATTAATAATAGATAAACAGATTAATCCAGCAGTAACGTAGGCTATTGCAGCAAGCCTACGATATAGCATCCAGACTATCGTATTTAATAGCCTATAGTCGGTGTTGTGACCTATCGTGTTGTCGGCTGCGAAGCGCTTGGTAACGATCTTAAGTTTACGATGACACCAGTCCAGGACCAGTAGTTATTGAAAGAGAAGACTTACTTCGGTGCTATATCAGAGCCTTGCTGCATGAGCGAGCCTATGGTGAACCAGAGCGAGTTCAGGAGGGTAAACTCGTTCTCGAGGACCTCGGACTGCGCGTTGCACGGATGGGGATTCTCCCACTCGTAAGGGCTGAACCTGCAGACACGTGAAAGGAAAGGGATGGGATTAGATCTCAGAGCCGTAACGAAAAAAATAGCGGCAAATTCAAATAGCAGGAAGTCCTTGAGCAACACAACCGGCAGTCGATTCCATCCAGACGACACAGAGTACCGTCGTAGTGTCCAGAGATTCTGCTTCTGGTTACGACTCTGAGGATACTTTGGATATTATGCAGACGTGACGTCACTCGTACAATACTTCCTCTCCTGCGCAATCCGTTATCCTGTGATCCTCGAGACAATGGTTAGCGAATTTGCATGCACTTAACACACGCACGCACAGGAGACACAAATATAGATCAATCGATACACGTGCTGCGTTATCCAATGGTTCAGAACTTCCTGTTAAAATTTTTCAACGTGATGCACAATTGTTTACAGTCAGTACTTGAGAGAGGACAGAGAGATAGGAATTTGAAAATAGAACACCAGATCAAGCTTAGGTTTTTTTTTTGTTTTTTTGTGAAAAATGGAAACAAGACGGGGAAAGGGAGCAGGGCTTACTTGGGTAAAATGTCACAACCCTGACGCATTAGGGAGCCAATGGTAAACCACATGCAGTTGAGCAGCTTGAAACGGTTCTCCAGGTGATCCGGATTTTTGTTGCATCGATGAGGATTGTACCACTCGTACGGTGTAAATCTGAATATATCAACTAGACAGAATTAATGTTTTGATCGATACTGATGAATTATTATAGGAAGCTCTGTGTCCTGGGAAAATTGCTTCAAGGGGCGTTATCACCCCACGCTACCCGATTGACTTTGACTTTGCGTGGTATACGGTATAATTACGAAATTCTTACGTGAACTCCCTTCCATATCAATGCACGTCTATAGGTATTTCCAAACTATGCGGTGCGAATTAATCCGATATGTCCGTCCCTTAGTATATAGCTTATTGATTGCACGTTACTCGCCTGGCTAATATGAAGAGTAAAACCGAGACTCCGAGATAAGCCGTGGCCATGTAGATCCACACGTCGAGACTGAGAGGACTGAGAAACGAGAAGAGATTCGGTGGCTGCTTTATGGGCTTGCGATATAGTATACGGATACCTGTGAATAATAATTAATAAGTAAATTTAAAAAAATTATAAATAATTAATTAATCTTAAAGGCGATAAAAGAATCTTACCGAGATTCATGAAGGGCATCGTGAAGTCTACCGCTTGTTCTCGATCGTAGGTGATGGTAAGGTCGGCAATGGCCATATCGGCTTTCTGATCGAGAAGCTCCTTTATCATTCCATCCCATTCCTTTGTCTCCCTATTAATCGATCCGTATCGTCCATCGGGCACCAGCCGGAAGGTATAATTAAATCCAAGGAGCCGTGATATCTCGTGTATAAGGTCGATACTGTATCCTTCGAATTGGGCATTTCCAACGAGCTTCTCGCTGGAGTCCTTCCGCATGCAGTACGGCGAACTCTGTCGTTCGACAAAGGAATAATACTCATGAAAATCATATTGGCCTTCAGGACGTCGAATACAAACGTACATAATAAGGAACGAGGGTTAATATAAGCAGCGACGAATCTTACACAGAAGAAGATTACACGAGATTCTCTATAAAGATTAAACGCATAGAATAACTATCATTCGTGTAGAATAATTAAAAGCTCATTAACGATCCAGGCTTGATATCGTTAAGATTTAAAGGGAATTTCACGAAAATAGAGGGTTATCAAAAAATTTTATAACGGGAAAATAAAATTCACTAATAATTAATTTCACACTACACGTTGACGCAACACCCCAAGTGAACGGTTCAAGGTTGAAGTAAAGTGCGAAAGCTCAAAAGTTTCTTCGGGCTAAGGATCGAACCTGAGGGGAATCACAGTCGACGTGGTGGATACGAGGTGAAAAATCATTCCACGGCTCCTTCGAATTGAGCGTTTTGATGAGAATGAAGCGTAAGGAGAAACTTGTACCCAGTTACGGCGCAATGAATAAAAGCTAACGTCGGCACTACAGCGAGCATAGTTTCTTCTCGGGGGGG